TAAGGGGGGTGACTTGATCCCAGTCTGAGTTCTTATGTGGGGAACAGCTATTGGCTGAGGGGCTTGTCGTCTAGCAGACAAAGGCCCGCCCTGAGCCAGGCTGAAGCGGGACAAGTTCAGCCTGGGAATAAGGTGCATGTTTTTACCAGGGAGGGACCAGCTCCCCCAGGGCATGGGAGATTCTCTGTTGCTGCTGGCTGTTACAGCAAGACTGGCCCTTTCTCTTTCCACCCTGCTCTAGTCTGCGGGGGAATGAACCGGGCAGGCTATCCGGGAGGTCAGACTGGATGATCACAGTGGTCCCTTCTGGCCTTGGAGCCTATCAGCCTCCTCCAGCTGTGGGAGCCCGGTGGAGGCTCTGCAAGGATCCCTGACATCAGGCCCCAGGGGCTGGGCCCAGCTCCGGGCACACACTGGGGACTGTGTCCCTGCCTCATGGTCTCCAGGAGGCCGGGTGGCACCGTGCCCTGGTCCCAGCTCCCACTGCAGGCTGGCCCAGCCTGGGGACTCTGCAGATGAGGCTAGTGTGCCCTGGGTTGGTGCCTGAGAGATGCTGGGGCCTTGGAGACTGTTCCCTTCACACCCCCCCCTCCTCCCTCCAGGATTCCCTCCTGCTGCTCAGAGCAGTTCTGCTCACCCCCCTGCTCCCGCAGCAGAGAGCGGGTGTTTGGGGTGCAGGGAGTGCTCTGTGTGGGGTGAGGGCAGTGCCAGGCCCAGTTCCCCAGCTCCCACCTCTGGGCAGCTGAATGTGCGTGGCTCCCCTCTGTACGCCTGGCAGGCTGGGGGAGGGGCTGCTTCCCAGCTGTGCTTATCCAAGATAAAGCCGGGCAGGCTCCCCGGGGGCGAGGGAGGCCTGGCGCCCACCCAGCGCTGCCGCGTTCTCCTCACAGCCTTGCCCAGATAAGCGGCTCAAGCAGCGGGGTGGGATTAGCTCACTGGCTTGCATCGCCAGGGCTGGTAGCACCAGCATGGAGCTCCCAGTGCAGGGAGGCAGCCACCTCTGGGGTGGGATGTGGCAGCTGCCCAGCTGTTTGGGACCTTCCTCAACTCCCTGCCCTAGTGGCAGGGGGCAGGGCTCCCGGAGAACCCAGGAGTCCTGACTCCCCAGGTTTGGGCCCTTGTTTCTCTGCTGCTGTTGGCAGCTCCACACTGATCTCTTGGGGGCTGTTATTGGAGCCCCGCAGCTAGTGGGTTCCTGCTGAAGTCAGCATAGGGAACTACTGGCCAGTCACCCCAAGGGGCAGGAGCAGGGCTGTGCACTCCAGCCCCCCAGCTCTGTCATGCAGGCCCTTTGTGTTGATTCCTGCCACTCACCCTCCCTTTGCACCCAGCCTCAGCGGGGTCCCGGGGGCCGTGTGTCAGGGCGTATTGCTGTGGCTGTCCCAGGCCTGTTCTCCTTCCCCAGAGGCTGCCCTTCACCACTCTGCCCCCCTGAGCTGGGCTCTGCCAATCTCAAACATCAGGAGCTGCTTGGGAACCAGTGTCTGAGCCCTGCAGCCCCCCGCTATCCCAGCCAGGGCCCCTTAATCCCAGTCTGCTCCTTCCTCCTGTCAGTCCTGCACACAGCTCCTTGCTCCAGAGCAGAGATACTGCTGGGGCGTGTGATGTGTAGCGGGGCTGAGCCCCGATGTGCTAAGCTGGGGCCACGTAACTATGCCCGGGGGGCTGGGGTGTCTGCACCCACACTACCCCCACCCCGTCCTGGGATCTGGCTGTTCCCAGCGTTGGGTGCTGGAGGGGCGGGCGGGTGTCGTGGGCACGGTGCCACGGGGGGCGTGGTGTCTCCGTGCTGGAGCCGCAAGTCCCGTGTGCAGCAGGGACTCTGCCGTCAGGTGATGCTGACTCAGCCCTGTGGGCTGCTCCACCTGTTCCCTGGGGGTGGGGGGCACTCTCCCCGCTCAGGAATGTCCCCCCCCCCCGTGTGTGTGTGCATGTGCGTGGCGGTGTGGGAGCTGGTGCACAAATCTCATGTTTTACATCCTTTCTGCATAGAAAACAGCAGCAAGAGGGCCCATCTCTTCCTGCCCCTTTGTGTGGGCGGGAGAGGGGACTGTAAGGGGTGTTTGCACCCTGCCCCCCTTTATGTTACCTTGGACATAAATGTCGGGGTCATTAGCAGTAAGTGGGGCAGAGCCAGGGAGAGAACCCAGGAGTCCTGATACCCAGCTCCCCTGCTCTAACCCATTAGATCCCACCCCCCTCCCAGAGCTTGCAATGGAACCCAGGAGTCCTATTGAGAACAACCTGCTGAAGCTGGTGGGAGCTGTGGCGCTATCTGGGTTATTGATCAGTCCCATTCCCCCTAATATGGGGCTGGTGTGTCTGCGCCCAGCCGTGATCCCCCCTGCCCCAGTATCCATCTGTGGCGGGGGCTGGCACAGTGACCTCTGCACCCAGGTTCCATTAATCCCAATGGCTCTGTTCTGGCTGAATTCCCTCCGCACCTTGGTTAGCCTGGGGTGAGTGAGTGAGCCCCCTCCCTGCTGCTCTCCATCAGCAGCCCCCCCAGAAGGGGATGGGGCTTGGGGTGCTGCCTCCCTGGAAACTGTACCCCCAGGTAAGTTCCCCTGGCTCCAGGATCTGTCCTGCGAGTTCCCGGTGTGGGGCTGTGGGGTAACACCAACAGGTCTGCTGGGGCTGGGCCCAGGGCCAGGAGCAGCCGGCCTGGCCGGTTTCCCTTCCACCGTAATGGCTCCTGCCTGGGGCCTGGGGATTACGTTGCAGGAGGTGTGAGAGATCCTGGCACCCCATCTCTTGGGGGGGAGGGGGGTAACTCATGGTGTGGGGAGCCAGGTGGTGCCTGCACTGGGGGTGCCCATGGCAGGGTGGGCAGGGGTTCCAGGCAGGAGCACCTGGAATGCATGTGCCATCATGGCAAAGACTAACCCCCGAGTGCTGCATGGGTGGGGGCATTGTACCAGCTCCATGGCCAGCAAGGGGGGGCACCCCAAAGTGCCCCAGATCAGGCTGGTGCAAAGGGATTGTTCCTAGCAGCTGTGGGGCCTCCTAGGAAGGTGACTGGCTGCCGCTTCTGCCTGCCGTCCGGGGCACTCTGCTAGGAGGGGCTAGGGGTGCTGGCTCAGTCCTGCTGTTGGGGATGGGGTGGCACAAGACTCTGGAATTGGTGCCTCCAGCTGGGAGCTCTTGGCTCCCTCATGGCCTGTCATAGTGAGATCCAAGATGGCAGCACATGGAAGTGTTAGAGTTGAACTCCTGTCTGAGGGGTAGCAGTATAGAGCACTGCCTGCTTCCCCCCCTCCCACCCCGGAGCAGAGTGGGAGGCTGGGCCAGCGCAGGGAAGTGGGTCTCAGCCCCTCCTGGGGGAGCTTGCTGCCTGTCACTGGGTCCCAGGTGAGCCTGTCTCAGTCTTGGTGGAGCCCGCCTTGCGGTGACTGGACTGGGAGTGGGAGGGCTGGAGCAGCCCAGTGGTGTCATTGCCCCTGCACTGCTAGTGGGGATTCTCCCATAGTTGGGCAGGGACCCGGTCTGGCAGGGTGCGGAGTGGGTTCCACCTCAGCCAGTCTGCCGCATCGCGGCATCTCTGCGCTCGGGCGCAGTGCACTGAGAGAGGTTGGAGGCCATGCCAGGGAGGCAGGTGACACTAGGATGGGAGGTCTTGTGTAGCTATGAGGTCTCTGGTTAGTGACCCACCCTTCTTCTTCCCCGCCACAGCACAGGGGTCAACTACATGGGGGTGGGAGTGGGCTGGCACTGCAGGGGTTAATGGAGGGGAAGGAAGTCAATGGCTATTGCGCAGGGGATGAGCTATGGAGAGTCTGGAGGGTGTGTGTGTGTGTGTGTGTGAGATATAGATATAGATATGGAGGGGAAGCGGCTGGGCGGGAGGCTCTGAGCCCTGGCTGGTCCTGTCAGCACTGCTCTCTGAGGGATTGGGATGAGGGGCTGGGAGGGTTCTGGGCTCCCAGGCGCCAGTGCAGGGATCCCCCAGGGCTAGGGAATGAAGGAACCTGGATGGGCCACAGCTGGGACCCTCCCTGTTCCAGCTCCAAGCCCAGGAGGCCATGTTTGTGTGGTCCCAGCACAAACCCAAGCTGGGCTGTGGCCCAGCCAGCTACCCCAGAGCTACTGAGTGCCTGGCTACCATGGGACAGGGCCCTCACCAGTCCATGGGCAGTGGTGGGGGCTGGAGTGGGACAGGGCCCTTGCCAGGCCATGGACTTGGTGGGGGGAAGCTGGGTTGTCTGTCTGCAGTCTCTCCTGGCTGCTGTTTGAGGGGAAGCCAAAGACCCTGGTTGTCCTGGGGCTCCCTGTTGCTGGAGGGGCTGGCTGGGGTGTGCGTGCGCTCTGGGGGGTTGCGAGAGTTGGGATCATCCCCCTGTGCTCTGTCTCATACTGGCTGCTATGCCCCTCCTGACCCTGGGAGTGACTCCCCCCCCCCCCCCCATCCTGATGCACCTGCCCGCTCCTCCCCATGCCTGGGAACCCTGTCGGCTCCATCCGCCTCCACCTGACGCCCTGGCAGCTCTGGGCGAGGGAGGCAGCGGGGCCATGGCCCGTGGGAAGACATGTCGGCCCCTGCTTCTCATACCCCAGGACGTGTCTGTACAGGCGCCATGTGGGGGGAGGGGGGGCAGCTCCTGTCTGGGAGCTGGGAATCAGGGTGGGAGCCAGGCTTGCTGCTGTGGGGCCCCACAGGGGCTGGGGGTCCCCTTCTCCAGCACTGAGTGATGGGGACTCCAGAGTCCCTATAAGGGGAATGTATCAAGGGGGGGAGTTTTGGGGCTTGGTGAGTGGAGGGCTCAGAGTGGTACTCTGGAGGGAAAGAGGGCCATGGGAATTGTGTGGGGGGCAGGGGGGGGGGAAGAGAGGCCATGGGGATTCAAGAGGCTGTGAATGGGGTGGACCATTTGAGACATGGGGGAGCTGTTGGGGGATAGTTAGTGAGGTGTTCCGGGTGAATGGGGAGCCATGGGAGATCTGTGGGGATTCTGGGTGAGTGAGGACCCCCTCAGCAGCTCCTCACCCCCTTCTTCTTGCAGAGAACGTGCCGGAGGAACTGCGCGACCCCTTCTACACAGACCAGTATGAGCAGGAGCACATCAAGCCGCCCGTGACACGCCTGCTGCTCTCCTCAGACATTTACTGCCGGGCCTGCCGCCAGGTGCTGCCCCCTGACGATGCAGCCGCGCCCGCCCCCAAGGACAACGCTGCCTTGCTGGCGCTGCTGGGGCGCCGTGGCCTGGCCCCCACCTACCAGGACAAGGCCGTCAAGGAGGCTGACCTGCGCCAGAAACCCATCAAGATGGTAAGGGCCAGGGTGGAGGGACTGTCTGGTGACTGCTTCAGGGGTGCATGTTCCAGTGCAGTAATTGGGGGGGAGGGGGTCTGTCTAGGGTCCTCCAAAGAGCTTGGGGAGGGGCAGCTTCCAGACTGCCCCTTGCCCCTGGGTTGTCTCCCTGTGTGCGGGTATGTCCTGTCCAGGGATTTTTCTATGTATCGTGTGGAGCGGGAGCCTCTGCTGCGGGGTGTCCTGTGGTGCCAGGTGCCTGGACACCCAGGACAGTGCATGGTTGTGGGAGGTGCCCAGTGGGGCCTTGGCTGGCCGAGGCTGGAGGGTGCTTGGGGCCCAGGCTGGGCATTGGAAGGGGCAGATGCTGCCAGCGCAGGGAGTGGGAGCTGTGGTGCCCCCTGGAGTAGGCTTCTTATGGGGAAGGGCATGAGCCCAGCACTGGGGGAGGCTGATGCATTTTTTGGGGGGAGGGAGCAGGCACCCTGGATTGGGCAGGTCTGCCCCCCCTCTCTGCCCGTCCTGGCTGCCACCTCCCCCTGCAGGCACTGGGCACAGGTCTGGGAAGTGCATTGGCGTCAGGGTGGGGCCTTTACGAGCTGGGATCCTGGCTGGCACCTGAACCACCATGGGGGGGGGGTGAGGGGCCTATCTGCAGGCTGGGTGCTGAGCTGGGGGCCCTGCCTGCTGTGTGTGCTGGGGGGGACTTTCAAACCCAGAGAGGGCCCCCCCCCCTCCTCAGGCTGGGCCAGGTTGCTGGGTGTCCAGGTGTAAAAGGTAGAGGGGGCTGGTGCCCTGTGCGAGGTTAATGCTGTCTGGAGGGGGGGGTGCTATTTGTGGGTGATCCCTGGTGGGTGGGTGTGTGGGGGGAGGGGCTGTGAGCACAGGGCTCCTGACTGGGGGCCCCAAGGTGGCACTAGCCAGGGGCTCTGGGAAGTCAGGTCAGCTCTGCTGGGAGCAGCTGCTGTCTGGGCTGGATAAATCCCAGAGGCTGCGGGGGGGAGGGTCTCGCCAGCCTGCTTAAATCCAGGGGTGATCTTGTGGGGAGGGGGTCTGCTCCTGTAGCCTGGAGATTATCAACCCGCCTGTGTGGGGCGGTTGGGGGCCCAGCTGTTGGCGTGGCTGAACTGCTCTCGGATTGCTATTAATACTGCCCTGGTGATCTGGCTGTAGGGCTCTGGCTCAGGCTGGGAGTGGGGTGTGTATGCTATATATAGAGAGCCATGGCTGGTTCAGAGCCCCGGGGGGGAGCATCCATGCAGGGCACGGTGAGGGCACAACCCGGTTCTCTGGGCCACACACCACTCTGGGTGGAGGGGGGGAGAATCACAGCCATGTGACGGGCTCTCCCATGTGCCCCCAGCAGGGTTCCTTGGTAGCTGGGCTGCCCTGGGAGGGTGTGGGTGGTGCTCAGTGGCGGCACCAAGTCCTGGACTCCTGGTGCCTGTCTCGAGGCCTGATGCCCCAGGGAGCTGCCTCTGGGACCTGCAGCCCCTGCAGATGGGGGTGGGCACCCTGGGAGAGCTGGGGTATGGGCAGGGGGACACTGGGCCCTCTGTGGCTTCTCCCCTGTGCTGAAGGGGAGCAGACAATGGGGATTAGAGGCTGCTCCACAGACCCCGCGAGGGAGCCCGGTTGGCTTGCTGCCAACGGGAGCTGTTGCGGCGCAGGGTCGATAGCCAGGCTGGGCTGATTGCTGGGATGGGGCAGTAGGGAGCAGCCCTGCTGGGAGGGAGGGGTGGTGGAGGATGGGCTGGAGGAGCCTGCTTCAGCCCTGACTCCCAGGAGTGGGCAGCTCGGGGCAGGGCTCCCTTGCCCTTTGGGCTGGGCTTCCTGGCAGGGGACTTTTGGGGAGGGGGGCGGCTGTGGTTCCCAGCTGTCTAGCCCAGCCTCTAGGGGCGCTATCAGGGCATGAACCTGCCAAGAGTGTCCCAGTCCTGCCTGGCTTTGGCTCCGTGGCTGTGGGGAGGGAGAATGACTCCCTTCAATGCCAGCTGCTGTGCCAGCTGGCCAGGCTGCCCCAAGGCCCTGCACCCTGGCCTGGTTCCCCATCGCTGTCAGAGCAGTGCCTGATCCCCATCCTCACGGGAGCCTTGCCAGGCCCCTGCTGCCATGGCACTGTAATCCCCATCCCTAAATCCCACAGGGCTGGAGGGGCCAGTCTGCCCAGCAAGACTGCACTGGTCTGTCATCCCCTCCCCCACTGCGTAGCCTAGGCTAGAGAGGGCATTGGCCCGGTGGCCCTGGGTGTGAGGGCTGATCAGAGTGTCCTTCTAGCGCAGACCCTCCACCGCTGCCACAGCAATCGTGCATCTGGCCTGGTCCCTGGTGGCTGATGCTGGCCAGTTACAGACCCCTCATTGGCAGGGGGCTCTTTACATCTTGCATGGGAGGAAATTCTCTCCTTGTTGGGGACTCAGCCGGAGGTTGGGGCTGGGATTGCCTTAAGTGGGTGTGACGGTTTTATGACCTTTGTGAGCATCTCCCCCAGCTAATGGAGCTGATACTGTCCCACTGCTGACAGAAAACATCTGGCTCCTTCTCTGACCCTCCCTGAGATCCAGTGGCAGGCAGTTCTGCAGGCTAACTGGGGTTGATCTCTGTTACCCAGCTGGTGTTTCCTCCAGTCAGCCTCTCCAAATCCCTGTCAGAAAAGCCCCTTCTTTTCTTTCTCTCTCACCCCCCCACCCCCCAGTCTGTCTAGGCCAGGGAAAGCTGAGAGCCTAACCCCCCGGATACACACAAGAAACCCTTCTTGGGCTGCCTTCTTGTGCTCTCCACTGCCTGTCCCACGCCCCGTGGTTCTGCCCTAGGCAGCTCCTTAGGCGATACTGGCATCACACCCCTAATTTGCCCCTGCACAGCCCAGGCCTGGCTAATTTGGGATTCTTCCCCCAACTGGGGGTTTCCGAGCAGGCTCCGTCTGACACAGTTCTCCAGGGAGCTTGACCTGAGCTGCCTCCTGTGTCTGGGATCCACCCCTGCCCCCCCCCCCCGGGTGGGCGATGAGGGCCATACGATCTGTCCAGATAGGAATAGGGGAGCCCAATGCACACTGGAGTCTCTAGGCTTGGTGTGGGCCCTGCCATCGGGGCCTCTGTCGCACCCAGGCTGGTGCCCGTGCCTGGCCTATGGGGGATGGGCTCGTGTTAATGATTGACGAGCTGCTGTGTTAGGCAACAGCCAGCCGGATCCCTCCCAGGCTGGGGAGGGAGAGGAGCTGGGAGCTCTGGTACCAGGGTCGGAGCTGCACTAATCGGGTTAAACATTAGCCACAATGGGATGCCAGGGGATCTGTGCAGGGATAATTGGCTTGTGGGAGGATCCTATTACCCTTGTCCGGCAGAGGAGAGGGGGCTGGGACCCTGCTCCTGAGGCACATGGGAAACCTCAGGCAGAGGAAGTGGCACTGGCATGAACCCTGGGACCCTGTCAGCCCAGCCCTGGTGGGGCCCTGAACCTCCCACCCCCTCACTCTCACAGGTTCATATTAATGGCTCCAGCTGGCTCGTCCAACAGCCCCACGGTGCTGGGGAGCCCTGTTGCCCTCAGCACTGCCCCCCACCCCGGGCTCTGCTTTCACCGTCAGCTCCTGAGAATGTAGCCCCAGGCTCCCTGTGCTCCAATGAGGGGAGGGGGTGGGGTGGATGCATGTCTTGGTCCGTCCCTGCCAGGTTATGGGGAAGTTGCCTCCACTCTGAGGGGGCCCAGTGGGAGTCTCACCTAGTCGGGCTGGGAGTGTCGCTCTCCTGGGGAGGGGAAAGAGTCACTAGTTGATGAGGGGGAAACTGAGGCACAGAGGCTGAAAGGGTTTGCCTGAGGGGACACAGCCAGTCAGGGGCAGAACGCAGTCTTGACTCCCCTGCTCAAACCACTGGACCCCACTCCTCTAAGAGCTGGGAATGGAACCCAGGAGTCCTGGTGCCAGTCTCCTGCTGTAACCATTAGGCCTTGCTCCCTCAGAGCTACCATTGCCTTCCCCAAGGTATGTAAGCTTGTTGTGGTGCCAGGCCCTATAGCCTAAGGTCAGTGGGCCTGGTGCTGCCATGGCATGGGTTACCTACAGGCCCTGCCCCAGCACTGAGGTCCATGTCTGGGCTGAGCCCCACAGCAATGCCCTGGAGCTCTAGTATCTGTATGGACCCAGCTGGCTTGGGGCCATTAACCCTCTCGCTTTCCTCTCTTGAGCCTGCCTGACCCTTGGTGCTGACTTGTCAGAGGCCCCCAGCCCCTCTGCAGGCACCTTGAGGCCTGTGGCTGCGGGTATCCTTGGCTGCTCCCAGCCCTGATCCTGGCCCCAGCAGGAGTGCGGGGGAGAGAATATGGGGCTCCTTCCCTCTGGCTCTTAGAGTATTTGTTTGCTCCCCTCCCTGGGCTGGGGTGCATGTCCTGCTCTCTGACTGTGGGCAGTGCCTATGGGGTGAACTTTGGGGGCTGCCCTAGCTGTGGGGAGTGGAGGCCCTGAGGCTAGCGATGAGCCTGGTGCAGGGCCCGTTCAAATACCGAGGGTCTGGGCTGACGACTCGCTGGCCAAGCTGAGCCTGCGGCGTGCCAGTGTTGGGGCCAAGGGTGGCTTCTGTGGCGGGGGGTGGGGGGTACCTCTCATGTGTTCACCCAAAACCCTCTTTGCCCCCCCCCCCAAGGTGCCCCAAGCGGGTGTAAATCAAGGGTCTTGTGCCCATGGGAGGGCAGGCATCAGGCTGTTTGGGGTCATGGGGATGAGGGTGTCTTGGCTGGTGTGGGGTTGGCAGTGGCTCTTTGGGGGGGTGGGGTCTCTGGGCTGGGCAAGGCCATGGAGTTGAGTGGAGTGAGGCTGCTAAGGGCAGTGCCTGACAGACCTTTTTCCCCGCAGGGCCTGTGGGGGTCTCTAGGTTGTGCCAAGGCACAGGGTTGGCAGGGGTGTGTGTCGGGGGTGTATCTGGTGAGTGCGGTGTCTGATGGTCCCTTCTCCCTGCAGGGTGTTGTCAGTGGGCGGTGAGGGGTGTCTGGGGTGCAGGGTTGATGGGGGGGCTCTGTGTTGGGGCAGTGTCAGTCCCTTCTTGTGACAGGGCATATGGGGGAATCTCTGGGTTGGGCCCAGGTGTGGGCCTGGCAGAGGGTGTGCTCTCTGGACTAGGTCATGGGGTTGGGATGCGTGGCAGGCGAGGATGTGTCTGACAGTCCTGTCTCTCCATGGGGAGCTGGGGCAGGGTCTCTGGGGCAGGGTAGCATGGGGGGGGGCTGGTGATGGGGTCTCAGGGGCAGTGTCTGATGGTCCATTCTCCTTGCAGGGCGCACACCTAGCAGTGATCGACTCCCTGATGATAGCCTTTGCTGTGGAATCCACCCTCTCACTGAGTGCCCCCCCTGGCACCGACCTTGGCGCCAGCTCCTGGGAGCAGAAGCTCCTCTGCTGGGTGGACACGGTACGATGGTGGGATGTTGGGGGAACTGTGGGGGGAGCCATGGCCCCTGGTGCCCTCTAGCTTTGGGATGCTTGTTCCCCGGACACTGCTCTGAGTGGGAGCCCCCATCTGACACAGGGAGTGGTCTCCTGCCACCCTAGAGACTCTGGCCTCTGGCCCTCGAGCCCATGCCGAGCTGCCCTCTTCCTGCAGCATCGGGGGAGGGGCTCTCTCCAGGCTGGGGGGCTCTCCCTGCCCCAGCACAGACTAACCTGTCCCTATCCCCCACAGGTGAACCGCAAGCTGCAGGAGAGCACAGAGCGTGAGGGCTCGCAGCAGCCAGCGCCTGGCACAGAGGGCCAGGGCCAGTCCCCAGCAAGCGGCCCCAAGGTGGGTCTGTCTAGCACTGTGCTGAGGTCTTCCTATGTGGGGATGAGGGGGTTTGTGTGGGGCCCTCTAACTCAAAGCAGGATGAGTGGGCAGGGCCACTGCACCATGGCGGGTGGTGTGCTGGGGCCATGGGGTATTCCCGGGGCTTGGTGGCATTAACTCCTTCAGGGAGGGGCTGTGGCTGGTCCCCGGAGGCCATGGACGAACCTATCCCCAGGGGACACCTGCCCTCTCCTGCCCTGTTGTGGGAGGGCCCTCCTCCCCCACTGTCCATCCTCAAGTCTGCTGCTGAATGTCCCCTTCTTGGCCGTGTGTGTGTGTGTGTGTGTGTGTGTGTGTGTGTGTGTGTGTGTGTG